GTCATCACTTTCTTAATTCCTCAGCTCTGGCCAACATCTCCCTCTGGAACACCGAAGAGCTTTTCGGGGGAAATTCAACTCCATTTGTCTTTCTGTCACCACAATAAATCGACAACAACGAGAGCCAGGGACAATGAACACTTGGATGAAATATTTTTAAAATTGTGTTTTACTAACACAAGCTGGAGAGGAAAAAAATCAGGATTCTCAAGGATTTTAAATCAGGATTTGCAAGGATTTTAAAATTGTGTTTTACTAACACAAGCTGGAGAGGGGAAAAATCAGGATTCTCAAGGATTTTAAATCAAGATTCGCAAGGATTTTTAAAATTATAAGCTCATATTTTTATATATTATATACATCATGTTATATATTCCTTTTCCCTTTCTTATATTACCTTAGCATATCAATAAATTTTGTAAAATAACAATAAATCAATAAATCTTCCTCAGGCAGCGGTTTTAGGATGTCACGAAAACAGGGATGTAGACCTTTATTTATTATTTCATTCTCCCATAAATCAATAATCAGTCATTCCAGCTATTCTCTCTTTGCAATGGTCTTAGCACAATGTTTGAATGCTATTCGTACTTCGGGACTTTGCTAAGGAAAATTCATTTCACAAAAAGAAATTTGGTTTTCCTGCGAAAGGAAATATGTTTTGGGGCAAAAAATGTGTTTTAAAGTTTTCTCTGCTTTGATGCGGGTCGATTGTGCGAGGCACTCTAGTGACTACGAGTGCTTCTTAGCGAAGGAGTCTAAGGACCTCCACCAAACTAGAAATCCCAAAGTTATATCGGATGGAGATCCACGGCAATTAAAGTGGTATCAAACAGCTGGAATTGTAGACAGGCACTGGGAGACGAGAAAGGCAAGAACAAGGGCCAGAAGTGAACGGGAAGGAGCTCAAAAATCAGTGATGTTCCTGAACAAATAGGAACTTGTTCAAGGTTATTTTGGCAACTCCTCAAAGATAACACTTTGTTCCAAAGGCAATTGCCCCCTTGGAGCTGGGCCAGGGGAGAAGCCAGCACAAATACCATGAATCATTTGTGATTCACAAGAGATAAACCCAACAACGGGGATGGGCTCAGACCAGGAGAAGGAGAAGGGAATGTTGTGGTTGTTTTCTAGACAATCTTGGGAGGGCCTGGCTGGA